GTTAAACACGGAGGACTTTTCCTTTGTAACCTCAGTGTTGATGATAGGGATTGCAATGCTGCTATGTGCCTGAGTGAAGGTTCTGCATATTACAAGGACACAGAAACACAAACACATGCATGTGATGCTTTTTAAAGCCCCCGAGCAGGGATTTTATTTCCTTTTTAAAAAGTCAGTGAACTCACAGGTACATGAGAGTGTCTCTGCCACTCAGTGCCTTTTTAGTACTAACAGAAGCTTTGTGTGTTTTGTCTGCCTCTGTCATAAAATCCCACGGTACAAGGGCCTAGAATCTCCTCATTTTCTGATTATAAAAATTAACTGTCACAAGGCCATCTAGTATTATCAAATACGATAACGAGGCACAAAGGTTTGAAGTAGGCTGAAATCTTCTTTTGCTGAAACATTATGGTGACGGCCACAGAGAAAACAGAGGACTGTGGCTAGGAGGAAGGCACATGGTCTGTTGCAGCTTCAATACAAAATATTTTGTTTCTGATACTTTTCTTTTTATAGTTACGACGATTCTCACCAATAGTCTTGAAAATCACAAAGAATGGCAGCGTTTAGAAAAAAAAAAAAAATCAGTGTGCTAGGAGCCTTGAAAGGAATTTGGAACATATTGTTTACTGGATGTTAGCAGCTACTTGAAATTGAACTTTTTCTGTCTGTATACATTACCATCCTCCAATTCCACAGGAATTATACACAAATATCCAGCTCTACTGATGGAAAACATGACGGGGTACATTTGGCAAGGATTTTTCATTCAGAACTGACTTTCCTGCCAGGAGATTTCAAGGCTCATGCAGCATTGTTTGTATGGCACCCTTCTGGAAACCATCAGTGTGGCTGAAAAAACTTCCTGATCACATCAAATCTTTTCATTTTCTTACCATTTAGTAAAAGTTTCCTCTGGTGGGAAAAAGGTAGGATTTCTTGTTGAAGCCATATTAGATGTTCTCACACAGCCTCCTGTCCCAATTCGAATAGATTTATTGGCAAAACTCATACTAGATTTAATGTGAGGAAGAATGGCCCAAACCAGTGATTTTTTTGGCTTTTTCTATTTCTGGATTTTCAACATTTCTGCAGGGGAGGTGGGAGGCATGTATAGCAAACATAAACTGAGCAAAACCTTGATTTCATTAGCTGTCTTTTACAGACTCCTTATAGAAAACACTGTCTTAAATCATTAAATCACAGAGCTTAGCTTGTGCAATATTTGTCTCTATGAAGCCAGGAAGCTCTCCTGTGCAGGATTACTGCCCATGATTTGGCCCATAATGCCTATGCAGGTGGCTATTCACAAAAATCTGTCACACAATAAAGGAAAAGACCTCTTCAAAATGAGACATTTGTCCTTACAGCTGCACTCTCAGAGTTCCTCAAGATCTGTGGGGTGTGTATGTCAATTGTATGTATATGTAGTGTACCCATTCTTAACAGTGAAGAATTAAAGAGCAAAGGAATACCTTTTCAGATATATTCAGGAACCTAATTTCAGAGGAATTAGAAACACAGAAATTCTCACTTCACAGAGGAGAGAAAGGAGTTTCACAAGGCATGATGCAGAGGAAGAGGCTCACTTAGATATTTGTTGTGGTTTGAGCCCAGAGGGGAACTGAGCATCATGCAGCCACTCGCTCAGCCCTTTTCCTCAGGAATGGGAAGGAAAAATTAAAGCAAAAGGCTCAGGAATCAAGATAAAGACAGGAAGGGATGACTCACCCATTACGGTCATGGGTAAAATACAGATTCGTTAGGGGAAGAAAGGGACCTGGGGGTGTTGATTGACAGCCCGATGAACAGGAGCCAGCAGTGTGCCCAGGTGGGCAAGAAGGCCAATGGCATCCTGGTTTGTGTCAGCACTAGTGTGGCCAGCAGGGACAGGGAAGGGATCTGACCCCTGTACTCGGCACTGGGGAGGCCGCCCCTCGATTTCTGTGTTCAGTTTTGGGCCCCTCACTCCAAAAAGGACATTGAATGACTGGAGCGTGTCCAGAGAAGGGCAACGGAGCTGGTGCAGGGTCTGGAGCACAGGTCGTACGGGGAGCGGCTGAGGGAACTGGGGGTGTTTAGTCTGGAGAAGAGGAGGCTGAGGGGAGACCTCATCGCCCTCTACAGCTCCCTGAAAGGAGGGTGCAGAGAGCTGGGGATGAGTCTCTTGAACCAAGTAACAAGTGATAAAACAAGAGGTAATGGCCTCAAGTTGCACCAGGGGAAGTTCAGACTAGATATTAGGAAGCATTTCTTTCCAGAAGGGCTTGTCAGGCATTGGAATGGGCTGCCCAGGGAGGTGGTGGAGTCCCCATCCCTGGAGGTGTTCAAGAGTCGGGTCGATTTAGAGCTTAAGGATATGCTGTAGGTGGGAACTGTGCTAGGAGAACAGTTGGACTAGATCTCCAGGGTCCTTTCCAACCTAGATGATTCTGTGTGATTCTGTGTGAAAAAGAACATCAGTTTAATTCAAACACTAACAACAATGCTTAACAAGCAGGGTAGGACAGTGAGAAGCACTGTCATATCTTAAAAACACCTTCTCCCACCCCTCCCTTCTTCCCTGGCTCAGTTTCGCTGATGACCTCTCTACCACCTGTCCCCACAGCAGTGCAGGGGGCAGGGAAGTGGTCAGTCCACTGCTCCTTCCTTCTTGGGGGGAGGACTCCTCGCATTCTTCCTCTGCTCCAGCATGGAGTCCCTATCACAGGAGACAATCCTCCATGAACTTTCTCTCCTGTGAGTCCTTCCCAAGGGATACATTCTTCTCAAGATGCTCCCTTCCACATGTTGCCGTCCTCCCAGCACTGAACTACAAAGCAGGGGCTTCACTCCACAGAGTCCCAGCCTTCTTCAGTCAGAGTCATGTGCTCCAGCATGGGGCCCTTCCATGGCCTGTGGGTTGGTATCTGCTCCACTGCAGACCTCCATGGATGGCAGTGGGGGCAGCCCTGCTGTCTCACCACAGGATACAGAGCAAGGGTATCTGCTCTGCGCGCCTCCCTCCCTTCCTCCTCCTTTCTTTCACCGACATCAGTGTTTGTGTAGGAATTCTCCTCTCAGCCCTTCCTCACACCTCCCACTCTTCCTCCCAGGTTCTGCTTCTTAAACACGTTATCACAGAGGTGCAGTCACCATCACTAATTGGCTCGGCCCTGGCCAGGGCAGTCCAGCTTGGAGCCGGGGGAGCTTCATGAAGCTTCTCCAAGGGCCAGCCACTGCTGTAGCCCCCTCCCCCAATACCAAAACCCCCAACCACACACACGCAAAGCCAGCACAGTATTGTAAATACCCTACAGTCCCCTAAGGGACGGTGGCCCTCGGGTGACCCACGCTGCAGCAGGGACACCCCTGTGGGACTGCAGCCCACAGGGGACCCACCCTGAGGCAAGGACAACTCTGAGTGATTATGGCCCACAGGCAACCCACATCAGAGGAAAAGTGCTAAAAAACAGCATAGCAAGAAAATCTGAAGAAGTAAAGAGCAGCAGAGGAAAAGCAGTAAGAAGCAAAATGCAACAGAACAGAAAAAAAAAAAAAAAAAACACACAACAAACTAGCAGAAAAAACCGTTATGCACACAACCACAGACCTCCTGCATCATCTCATCACCTGACCGGAGTAAGGGGGATAGACTGAGTTAATCTCCCTGTAAACACAGGGGAAGTTGAGCCTGGGAAAGAGGGAGCAAAAGTTGTTTTGCTCAAGTGATCTTTTTATTTGCTGATGTTTTTTTTCTCTATACCAAATCAGTGACCAGAAGTTGATGTTAACTGGACATAAATTAAGTAAAAATAACCTGAGTAGAGATGTTTTGCTGATGAGACGCTCAGATGCTCTTGACAATAAGATGTGTGTTTCCATAGTGCAGCTCAACCTTGAAAAGCTCCCATTCCTCCCCATGGGAGCACATGTCTGCCTCCAATAAAAACTGACCAGGACCCACAGTGCCTGGCTCCCATCAGGTGTCCTAGCCAACAATTCCCTTTAACTACTGCAACATAAAAAGTTATAAAGAGCTTATTAATCAGCCAAGCCTAAAGCTACAGGAGTATTTTAAATCATTCATTATTAAATTTGGAGGGAAGGGAGAGTAAGGAGTTATATTTGGTAGTAAAGAACTGCAGCCCAATATTTAAAAATAATAAATAAATTAGTATGGATATTATTAAACACAGAGTTAGGTGACTGTCATGTTACAGGTGAGGTTTTAACATTTGATTGTTCTTTCACTATGGTAGTAGTAGTAAAATGTGCTTTTACTTCAATAGGAGGTGAATGGAGTCATTAAATGGAGGTGAATTTTTAGGCCATATGGCCTCAGTCCTTGTCGTTTTCTTCATGTTGCAGGTATTTGTTTCTGTTTTGTGTTTGTATTTACATTTTCTTGGCCCTTTAGTGCCCTAAGGAGCCATTCATAAATGGTCACAGCACAGTAACCCACAAAATTATAGCCCTATAAATTACCCCCTCAGGCATTAAAAGAGCCTGGGAAAATACAAACACAGACAGACTCAAAACTTTTGTTTAACAAAATTTAGGCCATATTGGTGGTGGGGGAAAAACCTCCCATCATTTCAAAAACTGGAAAACTACTTGTATTGTAGACAGATGTCATTTGGTGGCTAACATACAACAAATACAAGAACTAACTAGGCCTTCCATAGTATCTTAGTAGGTCCAAATTGATGTTTTTACTAACAGGGAAAATGAATTTCATGTAAAAAGAGTGAATACTGCTAAATGGCAGTGTACTTACTTATCACATCATTTACAAAGTGAAACACTTAAAAGCCAGGAAATTAATAAAGGACATCTGAAATCTTACACTTGCCACGGGAAAAAAGAAAACACACTGACAGCATCTATTGCAGTGGTACCCTAGAATATCACATTCATAGATTTGTTCTCAAAACTTCTCTCTGAGACATGATATTTTTAATCAGTGGGAAACTGATGCACAAAGCAAGAGATTTGGAAAGATACCTAACTTTGCAGACACAATGGAGACACGTTTGCCCTTAACTTCTGTGCCAAAGGGAGAGAAGTCCCATAAAGCTGCATTTGCAGCCCAGAGGAGTGCAAGCAAGAGGGTGATGAACACACTTGTTTTCTCCAACCGTGCTCCCTGTGCAGGTTCCTGGAACCAAAGCATACATACCTCAGTGCAGTGACACACAACCACACCATTAGGCAACAGCTCAGGATAGTCCTGGGCCCCATAATTTGGGGATCCACTCACTGAAAGCCTCACAACCCACTTACTTACACAATGTCTACCATATGATGCTGTGGTAAGGACAAGGGTAGTGTGGGCCCAAACCATTTTGCCACATCACTGAGTGCCCCAAAAAATTGGCAGCTGAAGTTGGGCACGTGGCCAGACACTGCTTCACTCATACTGAGAAACAAGAAGTCACATGAAAAACTGCGTGTGAGGCCAGGAAACCTATGACAAAAACTGACTTGCGAATTGCCAGTAGGTTCAACTGCAAACTCTCCTCAGAAGATTCCCAACACGCCCTACCCTATTTAACCTGTCAGATCTGGCAAGAAGGTGGTATGGCCACAGATAGTCTCCATTTTAAGGTCTAGGCAAGTGATACTAATTTCTTCACAAAAGGTTTTGTACTAGAGATGTAATTGCAGAACACTTCGAACTAATGTTTGCAAGAAGACAAATGCCTCTGTGTTGTTATTGCTTCTGGGATTAACGAGAAAATGCCTTTGTCAGTTGTTTCCAAATGTTTTTTTGACCTCTTAGTCCTGGAGATTATGAATTTCAGATGGATGTACTGGATGCCAAATATATTAACTCAAATAATCGGTGCCCTGGGGACCTACCTCTCTGGGAGACTAAATTCGTCAGTAGACCTTGCTGCAGGACCTGATTTTGGCACACATTAATATGAAATCAAGCCCAGGGGAAAGAATCTTAAGAGTTCACCTTAAACATTTAATGGGCTAAATTCATGGTTATACATTATTTTTCTAGCCACAGTACTGCTGTCATAGGATTTCAGGAATGTTTTGTTCCCTCTTTCTTCTGAAAGAGATAAAAAGTGGGTGAGAAACCATGTTTTTCACTAGGATGAGCTACTGAAGAGACAGTATGTCTGCTGGAGAGATAAATGGAGCAGTCTGTCCACCCGTGTTTATGGGGAAACTCTGCAGGGTAATATGTTGGGGTATGTTAAGTCTCCACAATCAGCAAAGAAACAGTTCCAACTCACATCAGTGGTGAAATAAGGCCCGGAAGATAGATACACTGCACTTTCTAAGAGAGAAGGCTTTGAGCAGAGCAGTGAGAAGACAGGCTGCTAAGGAGCAGATCTCTGCTGAACATATCTCTGCTAAAGCACTGTGCACATTTTTTTTCTGGGGCATAACAAAATTTACCATTCGGTATCTTTCCAGAAGGTATAGACAAATTGTTATTGCCCAGAGAGTTCTCTGATAACAAAGAGTTGTCAATTCAGCCTTGCTAGATGCTTTGGCTTTATCCACAACAGGCCCAGGACTGTTTGATAGCCCTGAAGCCACCTGGCCACACACAGAGTCCATCACATGTGTCCCCTTCCCCATACACCCTTGAAACCGGGGTAGCAGCATCCAAACTAGCTTCTGGGAACAGCCCCTGGGTAATCCCACGGCCAGGTGTCCTCTGTCAATGTACCATCTGACTTGGGGCACAGCCAGGAATACGAGACCAGTTTTACTAATACAGCTGTATATCCTATTAATATAGCCATAGCCACTTAGAGCAAGCTTGGACCAAACGAAGGTAACCAGATCCACTCAAGACCTTGTGGACACACTACTGTCCTCCTTAGAGTGAGATAAAAAAATCCCCCTAACCATCCCATAAAACCTTTTTCTGAGTATGAAACCAAATTCCTTCCAGATCATTTTGTTCCTAACAGCAAACAATTTTAAAACTCAAGTTTTTACACTCACAGAAATGAAAAGTTACAGGCATCATAAATTTTATTACATTAAAACTTATAAATCTGTTTTCATATTGAGTACAGATTGTGCCCAACTGCTAAGTATACATTCTACTGAACATTTTTATAAAATCAGTTGTTTCAACAGATATGAATTATCAACATTTGACAGCTGTGAGTTAATTTTTATTTGTAAGTGTATGTTCAGTAAAATTCACAGAAATAAGATCTAATTTACTGGAGACTGCAGATTGACAGCTTTAAACGACTGCTTTCACTGCAGAGTTCCTTAAGAAAACTAATAAGCAATTGTCTGAAACTTGAAAACCACACATTATTAATTTTAAACTTTGCACAGAAATGTTAAATAATATATAAAGTAATATATTTAAATTAAACCCCTGAATTCAAAACTTCTCAGAACTGAACTTTATTAATAATTTTTAGTAAAGTTATCAGAATATTTAAATTAGTATTTTTATTATTTGTCAAGTCTTAACAACCTGTTTTGAATTATGCAAAATAAAACTTGAAGACAATCTACTCCTCAAGGAGACTTCAGTCAAAATGTTGGATATTCTCATGCTGCATAGATTCCTAGAGGGAAACAGATCATGCAAGTAGACTCAGCAAATATCAGTGCTTCACTGGAAGAACATGCATGCAAAAAGTTGATTTATCTCCAGAGAATGGACTTCATTCAGAGGTTACCACTTCCTTGAAGGAAGAAATCTTGCAAAGACCATTCTGAACTGTGATGCAGTCTGGTAGTACTTTCTCTGCAGAAGTTACATCCAAACTTTCTATGTTGATACTTCAGATTTCAACAACAGTCATCATTCGTGATGATGATAAAACACACAGGGTCCTTAGCAGACTGCAAAATGTTCTATAAGAAAAGATATAGCACCACAGCCCCCTTACTCTAGCCAGTTCTGGTTTATATCTACCTGACATTCTTTATTTGCATGCAATCCCTTTTATACATTGTTTAAATATACAGTAAGATTGCCGCTTTTGTAGGAGTATAAGTGTACAACCTAGAGAAGGTAATCTCAGTCTCTGTTCATTATTCAGTTGCATACACTGGATTACCATAGGATTTCAGTTCAGCAGCTGAGGAGTCAAGCAGCATTGTACAAAGAACTTTTTATCCTGCTTTTATGATGATTTATAAATGAAAGAAGAAAAATAATGTCTTTCATAAGGCTTCATTTTAAGTAGCATTTCAAGACTTTGATTGAATACATAGTTCATTCAAAATGGTAACATTTTACTCAAAGGGTACTTTTATTTCTGATGCTGCAGTTAGGTTTTAAGGGGGTTTTGGCTTTCTTCCATTATCAGGAAGTATTGTTTCCAAAATCATCATTTATTAGAGCAGTAAGTGTTTAAAAAGTACAAAGGACAGGCAAAGAATTGAACACTATGTTCTTTCTAAAAGTCTTATAGGGAATAAAGGAAAGGTAATTCAGCCTCTACCGTCATGCCTGGATTTGCATTCCTTCCTCACAAAAAACATCATTATTGACCTTTGTGCCATTCCTCCTGAAAGAGCTACTTTGGTGCCTTGGAAGCCCTCTCATTATGTAACGTGCTGTAACACTGAAAACATGTAGGGGAATAGCTGCACCATTATGCAATGTACAGTACAGTCTATGAATCAGGGCTCCCTTACAATGGCCAGTGCTTCAAAACAGTTTGTTTTAGTGTCTCCTGTAGTATCTCTCTGCTGGTAACTAAATATTTTAGAACAGTTTATATTGACTCCAGGGACAGCTGTTGAGGACAAAATTCCTTATTTCAAGCCAAATATGGAGTTCATGGCTTAGCTCAGGAATTGGACACTACCCAAGAATTTGTTAGGTTTTCTTCCCCTTTGCTCTGAATTGTCCAACATCCCCCCTGCCTCCCCCTCCCCCCCAAAAACCTCTACAATAATAAAATTTGAAGTGCACCCAGAGTGCTTACTATATGCTGACATTTTCTTAAAGGGATGGTGTCAGAATAACTTAGGCCTAAATTCTGGATTTAATAAAAACTTTTAAACAAAAACATAAAGTTAATACAAAATTTAAGATGATTTTAAACTGTCTCAGCAAAAAGAGCAGTTCATATTTTAAGAGGCCCCTAATGTTGTTGCATTTCTAAGAAATGTCTCACTCTATAAAAGCTAGTAAGTGAAGCTGAATAGATTTTTTTAAAGTCCAACACTTTGTCCTGGTCTCACTGCCTAAGCAGAGAAAAATGCAAAGGAAAAAAAAAAATATTTGGAATTTTCATTTTTAATGCTTTATCGTATATTAATCATACACCATACAGATATCAGTTTTTATTACAGCACTTAAAACCTGGTAACCAACAGCCCTTTAAAAGAAAATACATGCCTTTGTCCTAACACTTCAGTTACAATTGGTAATGAAAACAGTAATATACCTTCCATTTCCACTAGCCAAAGGTCTAACTACTTTTCCTATGACCAGTCATAGCAAATACATCAAGAGTCTTAAAATACAGGAAATATTGACCAAATTCTTCTCCAGGATAAAAGGAAATATGTTTTTAAAATGGCACATATTTGTTACAGGAAATATCTCCATTTGAACTCACTGCATAAAACTTGTGTTGTACATTTAATTTCTGTTTATGTTTAGCTTGCTTTTAAAACATAGGACAACATAGGAAAGTTACAAATTCCACAAGGTGTTTAGAAAATGCAGCTTATCAAGATAATATTACCCTACACAGCTAACACCTATAAAGGTTTTCTGTGAATGATGTCTTATATATCACATAAATAATGTCACAGGTCTTTTGTGAATGACATGATACATCAGTTCCAATAGAAGAGGAACTTACTAGCAAAAAAAACCCCAGTTTTTCAATAAAGGCACTATCAAGAGTACAAGCAAACCTGTAACTGTTAACCTCCAAGGCATGGGTAACTCAAAGCAAAAAACACTTAATCCCAGTGATATGCAAAATATTTTAAAGATTTGCCATTGTGAATATCTGAGCAGTTATGAGTTTTTAAAAAAATGCTTCTTGGATTTTATTGAGAATTC